GTTATAATGGAAGTTAAAGCTGTAGACAAAGACGTCGGCGTCAACTCTGTTGTCAATTACTTTATTATATCAGAAGTCAGACAAACATTGACTGAAGGATTGGATACTTTAAGTTCCGAATCATTTGTAATAAATCGTATTTCGGGTGAAATTAGCCTTAATTTTGATCCACAAAAAGATATGAAGGGATACTTCGAGTTCGATGTGTTGGCCAACGATACAGACGGACTCGCAGACAGCGCTACTGTTTTTGTATGAATTTAATATTTATTTTTATGAATCTATTGTCAAATAATTTATATTTCTATTTAGATTTATTTGCTAAGAGATGACCAAAGAGTGAGATTTATTTTACGACTTACTCCACAAGAACTGAGAGAAAAGTTGGATAAATTTCGAGATGTATTGGCGAACATCACGGGTGCGACCGTTAATATTGATAGCTATAAAATACACGAGAATAGAGACGGTTCTGTCGACCAGAAAAAGTGATTATATTATGAACATTAGATAGTAATCATTTAAATTAAATGTTTGAATTTATTTTCAGAACTGATTTATATTTACATTTTGTGAATCGAGACGATAATAGTATTTTGGAAGTAAACGATGTCTTATCTCTAATCGACAAAAATCTTGAATATTTAGACGAATTGTACAAAGAATTCAATGTTTTGGTCACTGAAGTGAGAATTAAATTTAAATTAAATGTAATTTTATTATACAATTAATATTATGAAATCCAAATGATAGCCCACACAAAGTTTGGAGTACTTCTTGGAATGGGAGGACCAGTTAAAGGCTTGTCTATTGGGAACGACAGCCTTTTTGGCTCTGCTTTTAATCTTAGTAATCTGTTTGTGTCTGAACCAGAAGTCGAGGTCTGTTAACAAGAAAGTGGTTTATAGATTGTGTTTATTTATGAAATAATTATTGATAGATATGAGCGACAATTAAAGGCGGCAACAGTTCCAGTGTTTGGTAGCGAAAGTCAATTAACTCGTTGTAATGTTCCCAACACTAACCAACACGCGAGTGAGGGCTCAAATCCCATGTGGATGACTGGTTATGATAATCGATGGTATGATAAAGACGAAGAACAGATCAGGTCTGCCTATCTCTCAACTAATAAACCCTTCAAAGCATTTATGTAAACATATATTAATCGCTTTTATAGCAACCGCTCGAGTGGTGACAATTCATTAGATGAGAACGCAATCGCCAGCCATTCACCCGACGATTCACTCGATGGCAGCGCTGGTCGGGAATCGGGAGGTTCGGCCTCAACCACTACTAACGACAAACAGGCACTTTGTCGCGGGTTGGCTGTGGGGCGCGTCACACCACAGAATATAACACTACCCAACAGTAATGTTAATAACATTACTATTAGTCATAACAACAAGAATAATAATAATCATATAAATATAGTTAAAAAATTAGCGCCAAAACCGCCACAAAAGCCAATGAATACAACGGCTGTCGGGACTAAACAGTTAATGAGCGCCAGTAGTCATAATCGACAACAATCTCAGCCAAAACTTAGCACAAATGGCATTTGTAAACCAATCTCCGCTTCAAATCAAAGAAGTATTAGTAATGTTTACATTGAATCCTATTCTCCATCTAATCATAACAATAATATTAAGGCATTTACTAATAATCCACAACATATTCACAGTAATTATAATAATAATAATATTAATAATCAGACTTTAAATCAATTAAGTCTTATGAATCTCGAAACAACTGAATTATAACTTAATTTATACTAACATACTGTATAGTACTGTATATATAATACATTATTTTATATAAAACTTAAATTTTATAAACATTTTTTATATTCATTTATTTTTTAAATATATTTTAATTATATTTATTGAGAGAAACTATACATTAAAAATGTATATTAAGTTAAATAAAGAGCTGAAATAATAATAATAATTATTGAATATTTTATTTTATCTTGTAATTGATGGGCAAAAATATGCGATATTGTTAAATGTATTTAAACAAAATTGTTTAAACAACAAGTTCTGTATTGTTCTGTTCAATAGGTTCTGTAATATTGTTGTGTTCAATAAGTTCTGTATTATTGTTGTGTTCAATAAGTTCTGTATTATTGTTCTGTTCAATAGGTTCTGTAATATTGTTGTGTTCAATAAGTTGTGTTTTGAGCATAACAGGTTTTGGCTGTTTTTTTGGCTTAGTCTTGGGTTTGTGGTCTTCTTTAGGAGTAAATGCACCTTCTCCTTTGTCAAGAACGTAGAGCTCTTGAGCGGTCCACACTTCTTGGATGCCTCGTGCCATGCCAGCGATGCCCTGCACAACATTGCTTTTATATTCGCCCTTCACATTGCCGGCGGGCGAATAGATACAAACAACGTTAACCTCCACTTTATCTTTGGTCTTGGGGTCTTTCTGACCGCATACGGCACACGTCATATGTGTTGTCTTCTTCCACAACAATTGAGTAAAACTCAGAAATTGAGTACCAGGGTTATCAGGCGATTTCCACGGATAATCTTTTGCACTTTTGGCCCTACATGAACCACATAATTATTATAATTTTCAAACAAAGTAGTTATTAAGTATTACAAAATTTGTATTTAATAATAAGTTCATAAAAAGTACCCACTTACTTTTACGATTATTCGAGAATTGGCACTTGTCAATATTGTCACTTTCATATATACTTTTAATATTAACATCTGATTTAATGCCTAAGGTGTTTTCACCAAGTACGTTCGCACTATATAAGAAATCTAAACCCCCTCCCCCGATATTCGCATTTGTTCGCATGTAGATATTTTTAAGCACAATTCAGCTATGAATAATGTGGTTTATAGGATCGTTCTGCCCCCTCCCTTTCCGCCCCCGGTCTATGAGATTTAACATGGGATTACAGCTTACGTCTATGGCTTAACTTTAACATGGGGCTAATGTTATCCTATACGTAATGTTAATCCTATGGGGCTAATGTTAAGTCTATGACATAGGTTTAACATGGGTCTATGGATAATGCTAATCCTATGGAACTAATGCTAATCTAATAGACAATGTTAAGTTTATGAGTAATGTTAGGTCTATTTGACTAATGCTAATCTTATGGATAATGCTAAGTCTATGGATAATGTTAGGTCTATGGGATTATGTCTATTGTACTCATATTAAATCTATAAACAATGCTAATATTTCTTTAAACAATACCCGAATTGTGGTTAATAAGTTATTAATAATAACTTAGAAACCTAACTGATAAACAACTTACAATGGATACTTTTACATTGTGAGGCTCAAAAAGTAATATTAACCATGTTAAATGATTGTTTATATTAGATAAAACAATTTAACAATTTTTAATGTAAAACAAGGATCACACAGCGATGCTATACGTTAACTACTATTCGGGTGATTCTCAAAGAATAGATTAGGATTGTCTACACATTCAATAAGAGTCCATAGGATTTCCACTACACGTAGACTTAGCATTAGTCCTTTAGACTTAGCATTGTCCATAGACTTAGCATTATTCATGTTATCACTATGTTATAGACTTATCATTGCCCATGTTATTTCTATGCTATAGACGTAGCATTATCCATGTTATCCCTATGCCATAGACTTAGCATTATCCATGTTATCCCTATGCCATAGACGTAGCATTATCCATGTTATCCCTATGCCATAGACTTAGCATTATCCATGTTATCCCTATGCCATAGACGTAGCATTACCCATGTTAAAGTATAGCCATAGACTTAAGCTGAAATTCCATGTTAATTCCCCATAGACTCAAGAATTTCATGTTAAAGTATAGCCATAGACTTAAGCTGAAATTCCATGTTAATTCCCCATAGACTCAAGAATTTCATGTTAAAGTATAGCCATAGACTTATGCTGTAATCCCACGTTAAATCCCATAGAGCGAAGGAAGAAGGGGGATGGGGGAGGGGTAGCCTAATGATCATATAAACCACATTATTCATAGTTGGTGTATTCACATTAGTGGTTAAAAATTAAGTGCCAGTTTGTGGCCCGGTGGCCAAGGTAGTCTAAGTGAGCTAAGCGCATGTAAAGCGCATGGCCCGAGCAATATAAGGAGTTCCCTAAATGAATTTTCCATAAGATAACATTATTAGTATAAAAAGTAGTAATTAAAAATATAATTTAACATAAATATTAAGATATTATTTGAACCAAATTGAAGTTTTTTGTTTGGGTTACTCACGAGCAGAGGGTACCTTCTTGTCGGACGATATCTTAATAAAAAGCCACTAATTGTGTAGTTTAGACAAAATAAAAAATATAAATTCAATATCTCGGGCTGATAACCATAAACTCGCGAGATATGGCCATTTTAGTGATTCCGCGTATACGGCGTATAGCATTGAAAAACGGTGTTTCACACAATGCTTGGGCCAATCATCAGTACTGCATTGCATTACGCTGTATGGGCGCGATCACCAAAATAGCCAAATCTCGGTAGTTTATGGCTATCAGCCCGAGATATTGAATTTATATTTTTTATTTTGTCTAAACTACACAATTAGTGGCTTTTTATTAAGATATCGTTCGACAAGAAGGTCGCTATTCCTTGTCAATAAACATCACTTGAAGATCAAGGCAATAATCTTTTTCCACTCAATACCGAGACATCACCTTGCTCCTCATGTAGACTAGCCTACGAAATATGAAAGCAGTAACCCGTAAACCCGTGTCGGGTTGAATTGAGTTAACGTTTTTAAAGGCCGGGTTGGGTTGGGTTGACAACGGGTTGAAAACGGGTTGACAGGTTAGAAACAGGCTGACGGGTTGGGTTGAAAAGTGCGCAGACTGTTGCGCAGAGTGCGAAATTAATACTTGTATACATGTTTAACATGACGGGTTGAAAACGGGCTGACGGGTTGGGTTGAGTTGGGCTGGATTAGGGTTGGGTGGGGTTATGTTTTCTGATTTTAATACGGGTTGGGTTGAGTTGGGCCAACCTTTTACACCAAATTTCGGAGACTAATGTAGACCAAGTTTATTCATTAAAAAGGTTGCCTACCCAAAATTTTAAATATAATTTTATGTTTGACTTATTATTTTTATGTTATTTATTTAATATAAAAATATAAATTAATAACAGTTAGTGATATTTTGAAGTATTTGATAAATGTAATTACAATCAATAAAATATACACTATACATACAGTATTTACCCTTGTACTGTATATACCCTTGTGCAGATTAGTTAATTAATGTTTTCATCTATCATTCTTAACCTAGATGCTTTTTATATAGTTTTATAATTAGAAATTCTTAGTATTGATGGAACGTATATTTTGGCTATTTCAGATTTTTGTAAAACCCTTTTCCACATATTATGCGCAAATGTTTTTTTTAATCATAATAATGAATTTATACCGTTAATAATGGGGAGGTATTCATTATGTAGAAGTTTACCTAAGGAAGGTTATTTTAACATTATAAGTATAGGAAATCCAACTAAAAATTCAAATCAGTTTGATATGAGGAGGCGTTCATCCAAGGGAAGTTTACCCAAGAGAAGTTGGACTGTATTAGAATTTAATGTATTTAAAAATATAATGAAGTGAATTTGTTGTCAAATTAACATTAAATTATTTGTTTAACTTTCTTAGTTAACACGCGCAAATAGCCCATGTTTTATTAACTTGCTGTGTGAAAACGTAATCAATTGATAATGGTATTAAGGTATTATTACATTTTGACACCTCAACTATCTAACCTTAACCCCACCCATCCCTATAATAAACACTATAGTCACAGAGTATACTATGGGTTTAGCAAATATTGCATTTCCTAAGAAATTAGTCAAGTGATCAACAATATTGTTATGCTCAAAACATTTTCCATAGGATTTATAGACATCTGTATGTGTGAAGTGAAAATATTGTCAATTTAGACCTTCTCGAATAATGGTAAAAGTAAGAATATCTTTCTTTAATGAATACCTTATTACATATTTATAAATGAAACATTAAAATGAATTAAATGATGTAAAATAAACTGACCATGCTGCAGATACCACTTTTGCCACTGTCTCATATTTCAAGTTTTTGCCATTCATGCGATACACATTCTCCCCGTATTTGTCGTCCGTTCCGGGAGGTGTGAAAGAGAGTGGTTGTCCCACTTTCTTCTTGCATCGCTCGCGAACATATGTCTTAGCATTCTGTTAAATAAGTGAATTAAAAATTACAATCACTATTACCATGACCATGCTTAATTATATGATCACATACTTTGTCAGTAAGTTTCTTCAAATCCTCACTCTTATGAGGTTTGCGAAGTTTATTGTGGGCGTCGAGAATAATGCCCTCCAATTCGTCGCTATGGTCTTCAAAGGCAAAATACAACGACACGTATAGGGCTTCACATGTAAAACACTTTCATTAATTGATTTGTTTATCATTTATTTAATTACATATTTATACAAATATTATAGACACAAATAATAAGCAAAAGGTTATAAGTATAAAACTTATATACGTTACCCGATATAATAATCAAACATTTAATTGTTGTATAAATCATGTTTGAAATAAATTTTTAATTATAAATATTTTATAAATCTGTACTTTAAGAAAATGTCTATAAATTTAATAAAATATATTATATTTTAATTAAATAAAATTTTAATGATTTTTTCCATTAATTGATAAAATTATTTAATTATATTTTTAATCAAATTTCAAATGAAAAAGTATATAAGTCTGAAAAGATTATTATAATATATTGGTTAAAATTAGGTTCAAAGGATTTCTCCTTACTATTTTTAACTGGCCCTGGTCAATTTTATAAATCAAAATGTTAAGAATCAAGAAGCAAAAAGTAAATTATCAAATTTATTATATCTTATTTTAATATATTTAATTTTCAGAATTAAAATTTATAATTGATTTTTCTTATGGGAATAATATAATGGTAAAATATTTTCCAATATAAATATTTTCTCAAAAAGTACCTGGGTCAAATGTTGTAAAATATGTAAAAATATAGGGTTATAATTGGTGATATTAAAAAATATTTATATTAAAATTTCATTTGTGTAAATATTTATTTTACAACATTTATTTTTCTAATATTCTATATCCCATTAGATAACATTTCCAAACCATTATCGGAGGATGTCCTCTTAGAATGACCATATATTCTAAACTACAATAGATAGAGATAAATAGTTTTTATGGTTTTGTAGCTTAATAAATATTGTTTCATTTGTATATCTTAGTTTACATAAATTAACAAATTAATGTAAACGAGCTGGTATTAGTCGTGCCTGGTATTATATTTTAAAAACACGTGTTAATTCTAACACTAATTACATTATAAATTATACAAATAACAACTTGTAATCATATGATTACTGATTTAAAATTAAAACGACAATAAAATTAGTGTCGGACCAAAACTGGTTGTTGTAATCAAATATATTTTATTAGTTGATACATAGTTTGAGTGCTATTCCCTCAATGAATTAACGTTAATCACGGGACTCATGAATAGTCCATGAATAGTCCTCTTCGGTGTGTTGTTTGGGTTGAAAGCCAAGTCCTTCGCCCTCTTCCTCCAACAGGTCCAGACCAGTCGTATCGATCAGATCGCGTGCAGAACTTCTTCCCAGCGCTGCCTTAACATTGTCTGTATACTCGCCCTTCACATTGCCGGCGGGCAAATAGTTGCAAACAACGTTAACCTGCACTTTCTTCTCGACGGTATCACCACATATAGCACACGCTATTTGTGTTGTCTTCTTCCACACCAATTGAGTAAAACTAAGCCATTTTGCATCCGGATTGCCGTTTGTGAATACATAATCTTTTGTATTTTTGGCCCTGCACACATCAAATAATTATTATCATGGCTGGTTTGAGGGAGGATAGGGCTCAAGTTAATTGACCGTGATTATTGAATCACCAATGTAATTTTTAACCTATAATTCATAATAAGCGTTACTCTATTTATAGTTATTTTCTCCCCTTTAATTATAAATAAATATTAAAAATCAATGTAAAAATAGTATTCATATTTTGAATAAACGATTTATTCAAATTTATAATAAACCCTACTTTTAAATTATTGTACACTATATGAATAATACATGAATAGTGTATAAATTACAACACACTGTTGTATTAAATTTACATGATGGTGTAAATTGAAACCGGTGTTGATTATTATAATTGTCAAACAAAGTAGTTTTTAATTTCCCTGCATCACTTGAGTAAAACTAAAATTTTTAGAATTATGGTTTACACGCCATTTCTAGAAGTATTGGGCTGGAATTTTAAAATATTGTCATTTGAAAAAATTGGTTATAAATTTTTAACCACAATTTAAATATGAATAATGTTGTTTATAGGATCGTTCCGCTTCCCCACCCCCGCCTCCACTATGGGATTTGACATGAGATCTATACATTAAATCTGTACTTCAAAACAGGGCAATACACTCAAGTTTTTGTCTTATTGTCCCAATTTGAAGAAATATAAAGAATATTCGGCGCAAAACTATTTTCCTGGAAGATAGTTTTCAAAAATGAGAAATGACGAACGTTACCAATAGATAATATTAATCCGATTGGACTAATGTTAATTTATGTCATAGATTTAACATGTGTAATGTTAAGTCTATGGCAATTTTAATTCTATGGAAAATATTTTCAATGGGTTTCAAAATGTTAATGAATTAACTGTTAATACTGCAATAATATGCCTGTTTATTGGCTAAGAGGCCCTAGACTATTTCTCTATTTAGAGATTATTAAGATGTTGTGTAGATTATATAACATAATGTAAAATAAACTAACCATGCTAAAGATACGAGAGTTGCCACTTTCTCATACTTCATATTGTTGCCATTCATACGATACACATTCTCTCCGTATTCGGGTTTCGTTGGTTCGGGTGTGAAAGAGAGGGGTTTTCCCACTTTCTGTTTGCATCGGTTTCTGGTATAAGCCTTAGGTTTGTGTTATATAAGTGTATTAATAATGATCATTACCATGGTTAATTATGTACAGGGTGGAGATTAATGGACTCCGTAAAAGTAAACTCGAAGTATTCGGTTTAAAAATTCAAATAATATATCAAATTAATCGTCATTTTTGGGAGTTTATGTTATGATATGGTCAATTTGGTTGACCTCCAATTATAAAAGTAATCTCAAAACAACCAAAATTTTACTATTTTTCCATAAATATAATGTTAAATTCAACTTATTTTTTAGCAAAATCCTAAAATATGTCTCAAGTTATCTTTGCTTCCCTTTAAGAACCTGTAATCAAAATTTTTATGCTGCACCAGTTTTCATTTTGCTAATGATTTTTCAATATTTCCAATTTATGGTAAAATTTTGGTTGTTTTGAAATTACTTCTATAATAGAAGGTCAACCAAATGGACCATATCATAGCATAAACTCCCAGAGTTGACCATTAATTTGATATATCATTCTAATTTCTAGACCGAATATTTTTGAGATATTTGAGTTTCCATTTGCGGAGTTCATTAATCTCCATCCGGTGTTCACATACATTGTCAGTAAGTTTAGTCAACTTCGGACTGTTATGATCTTTTCGAATGGCATTATGGGCTTCGATGATCAAGTGCTCCAATTTGTCGCTATGGTCTTCAACCGCGCAATACGACGAGCCGTATATGGCTTCACATGCAAAACATTTTCATTAAATGATTTTTAATTATTTATTTAATTAGAGATTAATACAAATATTATGAATACAAATAATAAGCAAAAGGTTTATAATTATAAAATGATATATACTTTACCCGATATAATAATCAAAAATTTAATTGTTCTATAAATCATATTTAAAACTAATTAGAAATATTTATAAATGTGTATTTTAAGAAAATGTCTGGAAATTTAATCAAATAAATACATTTTAATTAAACAAAAATAATTTTCCATTACTTAATAAAGTAATTAAAAAATAAAATCTTTATAACAAACTACGTTAAAATAACTGAAAATATTTGAGGTGTTTTTCATAACTATTAGAGACTATTTGGTGTCTTATATTTACCTTTAATGCAATTCTCTGATTATTATTAATATCTTTGAATTAATTTACGTTAATTCCCAAAACTAATGAATTTTGTTATTTTTAAATACTTATTCAACGCGTAATTCATATGTAAACCCATTGTATGGTTCAATACACGACACGTGACTTTGTTTACAATTAATTCAATATTTTATACTGTTTTAAGTGTTTCACAAATCATATGATTATTATTATTATAGAATTAAATGCTATAATATTTGCTAAATGTTTGAAAACAATTCACAAATAGTTATAATATATAATTGAATATTGAATTTGAATGCTTTGAAAGCAATGCAACGATTAATACATATATTAAGGACTCAAAAGTTTCGCATAAATTGTTTTGCTAAATGTTTGAAAACAATTCACAAATAGTTATAATATATAATTGAATATTGAATTTGAATGCTTTGAAAGCAATGCAACGATTAATACATATATTAAGGACTCAAAAGTTTCGCATAAATTGTGTTTCAATTTGTCGTCGATTTAGTGATAAAAGTGTGAAATATATCTCAAAATTAAAGCACAGAAATGAAAGCATACGACAAATTGAAGGCATCACTAAATTGCCACAAATGAATGCATTCATGCAATTAATTATGAAAAAACCAAAGTTTGTATTCATTTGATTATACACTGAATATAATGAACACCTCTTTATAGTGAACTCATTCAATGGTACGCAAAGACACCGCCGGACAGAAGGAAAGTCATGTATTTGTCGGCAATGATTGTGTATCTCATATATCCATTGGGTTTCATATGTGTGTTGTCTGTCCTATACATGACTTTTCACTCCGAGGAGAACCCCTTCACTGGCAGACAAACCGTCGTTAATATACCCAAAGGTTTATTAAATGTTGTGTTTTTTGCGAAATTAATATTTGGTTTGTGTTTAATTGAATGATAGAAATGTTGGATCAAATGGAAAGCGATTTGTTTAAAGAGATATTCATTGAAAACGTTTCTTCGGGCACTTTCTTGCCATCCAGTGATCCTGCGGTCAAACGTATGGATAGATGTGTTGAGCGAATCATTAACGCTAACAATGATATCGATGTGATTGGAGACGGAAACTGGACTCCAGTTGTTATAAACAACGACCAGTTGTTGGATATAATCGTTTTGAAAGAGTCTCACAATATATTCATTTCTAAAAAGATATTGGATTTATGCGAAACCGACGATGAATTGGCGTATCTATTATGCCATCAGTTGTCTCACGTAATGTTGGATCACACCAGAGAACCGGTATTTAAAGTTGAATATAAAATGCAATTGACTTTTATATGTTATCATTGATAGACAACCTATGCGTCCAAATTGTACGTACCTTTGATGGCATTTTTGCCAAAGATATGGACTATAAATCAGGATCCGGTCCTCAGGTTTGAATTTATGGAGACATTGAATACATATTTCGATAACAAGATTAAAGAATGTGTGCGAAAAGGCATTTATCTGAATCCATACAACGAGGTGTTGGAGTGCGAGGCCGATAGGATAGCCATGCAATTGCTTACGAGAGCGTGTTTTGATGTCCGCAAATGCCATCAATTCTGCGCTAAATATGCAAATTTCACTCAAACCCATACAACAGATGGTCACACTACTAATGATCACTTTTTTGCCAAACATCCCATCACTGAAAATAAATTGTTATATTTGTTTCAATATATCAAACCTTTCATGCAATTAAGAATTGAATGTAAATGCGAGCCATTAGTTGAATAAATGGTTTATATTTATATATAAATTGTATTTTAATTACATTAGTGTTTCAAAATAGATGTGCAATTATTGTTGATTAATAAAATAATTTGAGTTCAAAAATACACATTACTTTGGTTTTTCTAAACACTTGGTAGAGTTGGAGACAACCAACTGATGAGCATTTATAAGAATCACCAAAGAATATAATTGTATTTTCTTTCATGCAATGGACTCCGACTCGCCGGTGATGAGCAACATATAGCGGATGATGATTGATGGAATACAATGTTACATTGTCAATTAGGTTCATTACATCATTGGAATTGCTCTGCAAGAAACACACATCTCTTAATGCTTTACAATGCGTTACAGATATGAAAGCATTCAAATAAATGCATTACAGTTTGAAGAGATATGAATTCCTTGCATAGAGCAATTCATATATAGAATGTGCATGGTAGTTTAGTAAAATTAAATTAAAGTTTACCTATCTTTCCATAAACAATGTTAATTGAGTAATTCATAATTGTCCATCTTGCTAATAAAGTAGATTTGCGAATGTCCCAATAATAAGAATTGGGGTCACATGTATATTATTAGTGAAATTCTTGTATTATACAGTTATTCATGAATTATATGTATGAATAATACAAAAAATTTTATATTCTGTTATTTGTACAATGTATAATACATGGCAAAAATTTTGGATTTGATATTTTACCACCCATTAATTATTTTTACCATGCCTCGGATTTTGAACCAAATTAGTTTGATACATCACCCTGTATTTTTCAAATAAATATAGCATATATTTAGAGATATAAAATTGTGACGGTTCTTGTGTTGAGGTTAGGTGTTCAGAGAGGGCGCGCGCTATGAATGAATGAGTTTCGACTTTGGGAGGTGATATCTCGAAAACTATGGCCTAGAAGTTCTCGAAAATTTGTGAATCGAATGCTTATGATATNCCTGTATTTTTCAAATAAATATAGCATATATTTAGAGATATAAAATTGTGACGGTTCTTGTGTTGAGGTTAGGTGTTCAGAGAGGGCGCGCGCTATGAATGAATGAGTTTCGACTTTGGGAGGTGATATCTCGAAAACTATGGCCTAGAAGTTCTCGAAAATTTGTGAATCGAATGCTTATGATATGGAGAGGCTATGCTGTGATGGAAAACTTTGGGATATTGTCTGGAGCTGATCCAGTGGACAAAGTATCGGTGAATGGGATGTGCGTGTAGGGGTGTGAGCGCGCGAGTGTGTGATGGGGAACACCAGATGGGGAGACGAACCGTACGGAACGGTAGTTGTGGGACCAGAATCAGGGGACGACCGGGTCTTACCGTCGGGTGAGGTGTATGTGTGAGTTGAACGGGAATGCGAATGCACTGAATGAATGGCTGTGAATGCTATGTATGTTTGTTATTGAATAATTAATTGGTGGCTTTGCATGTATGGATGGGTGGGTGTGTGGACTTATGGACGGTCGGGTGAAGAGTGGGTAAAGTGGGAAAGTATGAGACCTCGGGTCACTATGCTTATCAAAAGCAGGACTCTCTCGGGTAGTAGTGAAAAATGAAAGTGAATGAATGGGAGACCGTGTTTGTGTGTGAAATTCAACTGAAGTGTTTTATTGAAATGAGTGAATGATGTCTTAATACATAAGTTATTGTGGTGTGTGAGTGCTTAAGTATTAAGTTTACATGTAATGAATGAGTGCATAGGGTTTTCCCTATGAAAATGATATGTATTGGTAGGTATTTATTTATACAATGATTATGTGTGTTAATTATGATTTCTAATTAATGTTATGTATGGTCATGAATTAAAAAACATGATGTGATGAATGTCTTGAATGTGTGATGACATGTGTTGAAATGTGCCAAATTCTGGGTATTGGGGCTGATGTGCTGTTGGTTAACATGTATGTGTGAACTTTGTGTGAGTTTTGAGTTCTGAGAATTGAATGCATGAATGATAATGTGAAGAAAAGTGTGGTAAACTATTCCTCGATGTCTTTGTATGGATGTGTTGTTGTGATGTATATGAAAATCCCTCTCAAAATAATACATTTAATACATGTGTCTATTTACAATATTTTTCAGAAATATGGCATTTAAATCGTGCGCTGCTTAGATTTTTTAAACAGAACTACTTATACAGTCTGCCCTCGGTTTTGACATGTCATCGGTGACGTAAAAAATATGTGTTAAAATCGAGTACATTAACAGTACTAATATGACTCAGCGGTGCACCAAAAACATTAAAATCGCGTTCTGTCAAAATCGCATATGTCAAAACCGAGGGCAGACTGTACTTAATTTCAAAATTAGGATTAAATGCAAGCGTTAGGAATTATATCTAGTTAGTTCACCTAAAGTATCTTGTCAAATTTCTAGCAAATACTTTTATAATATACTTTTTGTGTAAACATTTAACAAATACTGTAATAGAGAAAAGAGTAATAATTCCTATAAAAACATATTATTATTATTATTACTGTAGAATAGAAGCAAATGTTTAATATTTGTTTTTCAACATAATTTAGTATTCAATTTAAAGCACATTACTGTACAGAATGTGTATTACTTTATGACACAATGTCTTCATTTCAAATGTTTTGTTATTCAGATTAAAGATAAAGTAAATACAACACAACAAACATGAATGACATTTATATAAAAATTATTTTGTCATTTTATATAAATGTGTATAAAATAATAGTACAGTAAATGAGTCGACATTTAGAAAACATTTGCCCCGACACTCATTGTTTGATTTGAATCCGTCAAAAATTACTATTTAATATACATTTCAGGAATTTATTATTCTTTTACAATATTAAAATAACAATTAAAAATATAGTATTAAATAATTTACTATTCAATATTACAAGTGATAAGTTATTTAAATAATGTAAAAAACCTGATTTATTAGCCATTATTAAAACAGTAGTAAGATTATAATGAAGTGACTTTATTAAATACTTCTAAATAACTATAGATAATCTCAAAATGTGTGTAAATATAAGAAATAACAAAGTATTAAATTCGCTTTCAAATAAATCTTTATTAAAGTGAATAAAATTAGGAAATGATTTATATTTTAATATTACATTCTTTAAAGCAATCACTGGATATATTAATTTATATTCACATTGTTTTGTTATAAAATTAATTATAGTTGGTTTTACTATGGGTTAATCTATTTACAAATTATTTTTTATTAAATATTTTATTGAAATAACTTTTTGTTTTTAAATTTATAATAACGATCCAAATTGTGGTGTATTTGTCCAAATATACGGCATTTCATTCAATGATTGAAATAATAATAAAAAGATAACATTGAAATGAACGGACAGTCAAAATCAATTTCACAAATAGGTTTTATATCGTATAAGAAAACAGAGTTTAGTACAAGAAATCACAACAAAATAAAACATAATAAGAGAAAATGGAAAAATAAATAGTTATACAGTATTGATTTTGAAACAAATTGTCACATATTTGTCTGTCCACACAGTAATGGAAATAAATATGTTTGTGTTTGTGAGCCCCAGGTTATATGCAAGTTATTGTTGAGAAGTTCAATATTTTGCAGTCAAATAAGTGAATATTACAATTTTTATAAGACTAATAATTGATATTTGTTGTTAAATATAATGTATTAGTGAATCCAAATATTTGTTGTCGTTTACCTTTAATTTATATGATAAATATATTGTTTTATAATTGCCTGCATTTGTTAAGAACTATTTCTTTTAGATTGTAAGTTCATTAAAACAATAATAATTGAATAAATTATAAAGTAAATATCTTAATATAATTTAATCTCATTTAAATGTCTAAATATTTAAATAAACATCAAAATAAAAAATAAAACAATACATTATATATTATTAAAGCCATTAAACTTAAATAATTCAACACTTAACAGAAGGATACTATTAATATCATAATTTGTAAATATCAATACTTATTTAAATAGCAGTAATAATTGAAAATAGTAAAAGCTAAAGTGAAAAACTAGCAGTTAATTCGAACATTACTTCCCATGTGAGCTCATTTCAATTTTAGAATTACATTATATGAATTGTAAGTGAATTGAGCTCCAGATTGTCACTTATGGGGTGTGAATATGTTATAATTTGGCTGCCATTAACTCCCATAACACTACTGTATTATCTGACAATACGTGACAACTTTTGTTAACGTATGATACAATTTTTACGTTAATAATTATATAAATAATATTCTTATTTTTATAAATATTTAATATAAATAATCAATAAACGTAACAAAACAGTAATAACCAGAATATTCCTTACGACTAACAGATATAACATTATATTCTAATAATTTAGTTGTAGTGATAAACACAAAAAACAACAATTTTATTATGTATTAATCATAACTATTACTATATCTAATGAGAATACAAATAATAATAATAATATAATAAAAGTGCATTAATACGAAATCTCAACCATAAAGAATTAAAGACAGAGATTAAGTGTTATCTATGAAAGAAGAGATGAAAAATTATGAATATTTATCATATATTAAAGAGTGTTGTGATAAGATTTGTGGGAAAGTCGATGGCTTAAGGCCAAAGTCTATCCTCTTGTGGCAAAAAAGTTCTCATTATTTTTGTGGTGACTTTTGTGAGCACTGATTGGCTCGAAATGGTTGTCAACAGATCTCTTGCCTCTGGCGCCGAAGAATGCGTTGGCTTTCTTCTCGATCTCGAGCCCACCATTAGTGCTGACCATCCCTTCCATCCCTTTAGTATTGGTATACATACTGTGTTGTCCTTCCATCCAATTAGGCCTACCTTTGCTCCCTATTCTCTGTTCGCTATCATATGTAACACACATACAGAGAAAGTGAAACAATATTTAATTATTTATTACCCGTAATATTACTCTTCTATACATTAGAGTACCACTGATAAGACTCTTAGGACTGACTGACCATTCAATATATGAAGGGTGGGAAGGATTGAAAAACTGTAGGATTGAGTTCATAGATATGTTGTTTTTATACATAAGTTATGCAATATCATAACTATCTAGATATTATTAAATTAGCTTATGTTGAAGTACTGTAATGTACTCTATATTCAGATACGTTCAATAATGCCTTTCTTTACGTTTTGAATAATACAATACTTATTAATAATAAACAAAAATTTAAAAGCAAAGAACGAAAATACTAAACATAAGTGTAATTCAGTTTCTTAGGAATGAAGTTAATATGATTTCCACTTATATATTGTATTATATGTTGTATTAAAGCAAATAAAAGTCTAATTAAAGATAGAGAATAAAATCCTGAGTAGTTTTTATAATACGACAACTTTATCAGGGCTTTAGCTATATCTGCATTAAAAGTGTAGTTTGTTTTATTGATTTCTCAACATTTTTTCCCTTTTAAATAAATATTTGACAAATCATTCTACATTGTACTATGTATTCTCTATTGTATTCAACAACCGTATCATAAATTCATTTTTAACTACAATTCAGTGTGAAAATGTAGAATATAGGTTCACGCTGCCCCCTCCCACCTCATACACACACACACACACACCCTATGGGCTTTAACATGGGATTACAGCCTAAATCAATGGCTATACTTGGCTATAATTAGATATAATGGCTATACTTTAACATGGGTAATGCTTTTCATATCGCAATGATAAATCTATGGAGAAGGCTAATCTACTGTAATAGATACTAGTGGCCAACCTTTGAATTTCGCGCTTGACGCACTCCCTGCAATTTGCCAGCCCTTCGTCATTACTATGCCCTTTATATTCGTCATTCATAACGTATCTGTACTTTAATACAAGTATGAATAATATAAAGGGCATAACTAATGAAATG